GCCAATCTGTGTCAGCAAACATCTGTGCAAGCACACTCGGGGCAAGCCGCTCTGGGTAAACGCTTTGGCCCAGTCCACACATCTGGGGTCGGCACAATGGACACTGATGTCTCTACCTTGGCGTGTACGTTTGTGGGCCGTCGCAACAAGCTCTGTTGCCCAGCACGAAAGAACACAACACCATGTGTGTACATACACACCATATTCATAAATATGTAGATATGCAGACACACAAACGCACACGTTGCGTTCCGCAACATATCATCACAATACGTGGCCTTACATTGTGATGTATTGCATACATTACGTGAGTTACATACATTACATGCACCGATATGGTACAGTTCAGTACATAATTTCACATTGTCAAACATACGCTGCCGAAATAATATGCATTCAAACATAGCCTGACATAAGGTGCCATACCATACCATACCATACTCTACGAAGAAACGTAAATTCCATTACAGTACATTACAATGAATTTCAATACTTGGCACTACATTACATTTGCATCACATTGCATTGCATGGCACTACATGATGATAGCACAAACATACATACATTACATGCATGTCATACATTACGCACGTTACATAAGGTTCATACGATACACGCACACACATACATGCATACATACTTACTTACATACATATATAACATAACATAACATGACATGACATAACATAACATAACATAGCATAACATAACTTACAAACATACAAACACACAAACATACATACATACATACAATATATACATATATGCATGCATACATACATTACAGCACAGTACAGTACAGTACAGTACGATGCAGTACAGTACATTACATACATACATACATTACATTACAGTACATACATGGCATGGCATTACATTACATTACATTACAATACATTACATTACATTACATTACATTCATTCATTCCTTCCTTCATTCATTCATTCATTCATTCATACATACATACGTTACACACATACATGTATACACATACACATACACATACACATACACATACACATACACATACACATACACATACACATACACATACGCACACACGCACACACTCATATACACATACACATACACACACATACATACATACATGCATGCATGCATACACACATACATAGATACATGCATGCATACATTACATACATAGTATTGCATTGCACTACGTCAAATACATACATTACATATATATATATATACATTACGTTGCATTACATTACATGGCATTACATTACATTACATTACATTGCAGCACATTACGAAGCAGTACATTAGACTACATAATATTACATTGCATTACATTACATTACATTACGTTACAGTACATTGCATTACATTAATGCATACATACATACATGCATACATACCATACATACATACATACATACATATTTACATACATACATACAGACAGCCAGAGCGACAGACAGAAAAACAAACATACATACATACATAAATTCCATACATACATACATACATAGATACATACATATATTACATACATTACATTACATTACATTACATTACATTACATTACATTACATTACATTACGTTACGTTACATTACATTACATTACATACATACATTACATAACATACATACATACATACATACATACATACATACATACATACATTCATACATACATACATACATACATACGTACATATATACATACATTACATACATACATACATACATACATACATACATACATACATACATACATACATACATGCATTGATACATTCATTCATACATTACATACATACATACATACATACATACATACATACATACATACATACATACATACATACATACATACATACATACATACATACATACATACATACATACATACATACATACATACATACATACATACATACATTACATTACATACATTACATTACATTACATTACATTACATTACATTACATACATTACATTACATTACATTACATTACATTACATTACATTACATTACATTACATTACATTACATTACATTACATTACATTACATTACATTACATACATACATACATACATACATACACACATAACATACATACATACATTACATTACATTACATTACATTACATACATACATACATACATACATACATAGATACATACATACATACATACATACATACATTACATACATACATTACATACATACATACATACATACATACATACATACATACATACATACATACATACATACATACATACATACATACATACATATATACAAACATTACATACATACATACATACATACATACATACATACATACATACATACATTGACATTCATTCATTCATACATACATACATACATACAATACATTACATACATTACATTACATTACATTACATTACATTACATTACATTACATACATACATACATACATACCATACCATACCATACCATACATACATACATTACATTACATTACATTACATTACATTACATTACATACATTACATTACATTACATTACATTACATACATACATACATACATACATACATACATACATACATACATACATATACATACATACATACATACATACATACATACATACATACATACATACATACATACATACATACATACATACATACATACATACATACATACATACATACATACATACATACATACATACATACATACATACATACATACATACATACATACATACATACATACATACATACATACATACATACATACATACATACATACATACATACATACATTACATACATACATACATACATACATACATACATACATACATACATACATACATACATACATACATACATACGTACATACATACATACATACATTACATACATACATACATACATACATACATACATGCATGCATACATTCATACATACATACATACATACATTACATACATACATACATACATACATTACATACATTACATACATACATTACATTCCATTACATTAAATTACATTATGTTACATTGTACATTGTACATTGATGCATGCATACACACATACATACATACACACATACCTACATACATACATGTATACATACCCAATCTGTATATATGTATGGGTATACACACATTCATAGTTTACCTTACATTGCAAAACATTACATTGCTTTAGAGTACATTGCTTTATATTGCATTACATTAATATACATTACATTGCTCTGCATTGCACACAATATATTACAATACAATACAATGTCTACATTTCATTACATTGAATACATCGTATTGAAAACAGTACACCACAGCACGGAACATTGCAGTACTTGACACTGCAGTACATTACATCACATTACATGACATGACGTTACATACCATACCATACTATGCCATACATTCTGTACATTCCGTACGTATAGATACATGCATACATACATACATACATACCATATACTCACTTGCCCAAAAAACCCAGAAATAAAAGGTTAACCTTTTGGGGCCATGACTAAAACTAGACCAAAAAGGAAAAAACAAAAGGTCAAAAAAGGTCGGCTTTGGGCAACTGAGTATACAGAAGTATACATGTGCATACGCAGTGTGGGACAATTGCATCCGAATGCGGCTTGCGCGGGTTGCTTGGTTTTGCGCGGGTTTGAATGGGTGCGAGGCTTTGCACGGGCTTGCGCGGGTTGAGTCTGGTTAGTTTGGGAAAGGATCGGGGTTGGTATTCGGGTAGGTGTTTGAGTGGATTTGGCGTTAAGTTTGTGATCGGTGGGTTGGCTTAGGGTCAGTTTGACGCGGGTTGGCTCGGGTGATATTCGGTTTGGCTTACGCTTTGATTTGGTCGAAGTCAGCCAAAGACGCAAAAGGTCATGGGAAAAAATCGTTACCGGACAATCGCCAAGAAATGTGTCCGAGAAGATATATCCAGAAATATGCGGTATAGAAATAATGATCATTTCAGGACTTTGCAAAAGGGATTACTACAGATATGTTTAGGAAGAAAATTAATATCATAGATGAAAACGGGAGAAGGACATTGCTTATTTGGTTATTCTTATGTATGTAAGTAGGTAGGTAGGTAGGTGGGTAGGTGGGTAGGTGGGTAGGGCACCCCAACATCCCGGTGAATCCCCGGCATCCACAACCCTCGGGCTCGAGCCAACCCCATGCACAACCACCCCACGAGAAGGGAGGTTACCGTGACCAGGTTTGTATGTATATATGTACGTACGTATGTATGTATGTATGTATGTATGTATGTATGTATGTATGTATGTATGTATGTATGTATGTATGTATGTGTGTGTGTCTGGATGGATGGATGGATGGATGGATGGATGGATGGATGGATGGATGGATGGATGGATGGATGGATGGATGGATGGATGGATGGATGGATGGATGGATGGATGGATGGATGGATGGATGGATGGATGGATGGATGGATGGATGGATGGATGGATGGATATGTACGTAGGTATGTACTTTATTTATATATGCACGCATGCATGTGTCAACGCATACGTGTAAGTACGTATGGATGTATGCACGTATGTGCGTGTGTACATACTGTAGGTAGATAGGTATGTATGCATGCTGTGCAAAGGGATGCAAGCACAGAGCACGCACGCCGAAACCCGAAGCGCTCTGAGGAGGCAGCTCCAACCTTGCAGGACCTTGCAAGATGCGTCTCCTGCTGTTCGTCGGCCTTGGGGACAAAAAAACGGCGTTGCCTGCGTCCCAGATCGACAGAAACTTCGGGAAAAAACACTCATGCAATGGGCTCAATGTGCAAAACGGTCTCCCTTCTGAGGACACAGCCATGGTGTAGCACCACTGCGTTCCAGCAGTCTCACACCTGACCCTGACTTGGCCTTCTCCGAGCGGCGAGCACAACACAGCCAGACCTCAAAGAGCTTAATCCATTGCCCATGAACCCATGAGCAACACGTGATGCAATCGGCAGTCGCCCATAGCTTTTCCCTCCACTTCTCTTGCACAAGAGATCTCGAGTGAGACGCATGCACCCAATTCTAACATTACTACCATAACTTTGTCAAGCATATTTATCTGATTATTTGACCAATGCACAAGCTGTAGGCGGCCGCTTCCGTGCGTGGGCCGGACATTTGTCCATCGGGCCACGTGGTCCTGGCCTGCCGTTAAGGCACACTGTCGCTGGATTCTGGGTCGCTGCTGTCATCGCTGTCGCCCATGTGGGGCACCGCATTGGCATCCAACATCTGGCACAAAGAATGCTGCACGCAAGCAAAATGTTTACCAGGAAGCCTTCATCTGTGAGAAATCCTCCATGCTGAGACGACGCCTTGCACGCATGTCTCCCCAATGTGACTCCGGGTTGAGGCATGGTCAGCCCGCTCACACTTCCACATATGGAAAGAAGAACGGCCTTGTCATCCCAAGCAAGAATTAGCGCCAGCCGAAGAAGGCTTGGATATCGCAAAGCCCGGCCAAACTTCATGTGTTGCTTTGGGAAGGCAGAAAAGTTGCATGGTTGCGGAATACAAGGTGGTTGTGTGTGTGTGTGTGGCGTAAAGATGCATGGCTCTCTTGGGACTGCGCGGCGCTGTTTCTCGTCTCTCCAATCTGCCGCCAATGCAGTCCTGTCGGCTTTGTGCAACCCCCACAACAAAGAGCAATATACCCTGCGCACCGTTTTGAAAAGCATCGCACAACATGCAAATGAAGCTCTTGATCTAATGTTCAACTCCCTAGTCCATCCGATTGCAGCAATACTACAGCCAACATGTCAAGAAAGGTGTTGTGGCAAGTCAATGGTGAAGCAGGCTACGCCAATCAAAGCTCCTCAAACGCGCTTCGACTGCTGACTAAAGGCAACCTCGGGAGCATCCAGTGCTGTCAAACGTAGCAGAGCTAACAGGATCCCCGCGCAGTCCACATGGAAGTCGACGTCTGCTGAGTGTGGGTAGGCGGTGTGTTGGAGTGCTCCGGGTCAGATTCCATTCTGTTGTCCTTGCACGCAAGCAAGCTCCTCTACCCGCCCTCGGCAGCCCAATGAAACGCCTCCTCCATCATCCTCTGTCGAGGCGCATTGCTGAGAACGTACCTTCCATGGCGATGTTCGGATTTGGGAAAGTTACCAGAAGTTGGCACTTTGTGCACAGCAGTTGTGCGATACAGAGTCGGTCATTGACCAACTGGCTTTGCTCTGGTCAAATTGTCATAGATGTGTTAGAAGGAGAGTGCGAGAAGGAGTGCGACATGTATGGCAGTGCATTGTCTTACTTCTGCGCAAGTCTGGGAACAGCGGTCTAGAATGAGACAACTTCTGGTAGCGCCTGTCCAAAATGACCCAGCTTGACCTGTACCGGCAGCAAAGGTGGCGCACAGCTGACTGTGACTGTATCTGCGCCAACCGCTTTGAAGCAGCGTAAAGTACTTTTGGGTCTAAGATTGAAGACTGAAGAATCACAGGACTCTTGCTTTTGAATCTTCAATTCAGGAACTACCTGCGCACTATGGTAGCAAATAGTTTGCTGCCGCATGGGGGCAAGGTTTCGCGATTCTGCCATACTTATTACTACTGCGTACTGGCATCTCCTAATTGTTGCAAACGTGGAATGCTTAGCTATGGTCATAAATTGTTTGTGAGGCTTAGCCAATGGAACCCTCAAGGTAGAACTATTGAGTCCCGCAATGCTTGCTCAATCATTGCATTTGCATAAAGCCTTAATGCCCGTGGCACAGGAAAGAACATGCACGGCGAAGAAAAGATGCTGGCGCCTTGCGACAGTAAAAGTGGCGTCCGGCTTCGCAATTCGTGCAGCCTCGCAGCGTTCAAAGATTTGCACCAAGACAACCAACACATCTAGCGGATGCATCAGCGAGGCACAGGCATTCTGACGGTACCATGCCAGCGAAAATCTCGATGTCGGATGTGCGGCAAGAATGCGATCCATCCTGTCACGAATCATGTTCGGTCATGCGTAGCACATGATGCATATGACATCTCTGCAAGGTCGTGTTAGGAAACGGCATGAGGGCTCACAAAAAGCATAGCTGCCAAAACAGCCCCAAGCAAGGCCACAGACACCCATATTTGGGTTGTTGGGGTTCGAGGGACGATCTTGATCTTCGCAAATGTAAGCAGCTGGCCTATAAGGAATGTCTCGATAATCCCAAATCCATATGCCTGCAACATAAGCAACGCCATGTGCAAGAACATGGAAAATGAACCAACACCGCAGCTTGTGCACGACGCGCAATTGAAATGCCATGATACTCGATTGCCGCACGAATGGATAACATGCAAAAAACTAGTGCCTGCTCCTTCCTCCAAAAGCATTGATGCGTTTCGTTCTTCTTGACCCGGGTAAGGATCGACAACAACCTGCCACACCGCTGCAACGTGCGCGTGAAGGCATTTAACATGCCACGAGAGTAAAACCTTTACAGGTGCAAACAGCGAGCCCACCATCATAAGGCTGCAGGCGAGCGCTTCTGAGGTGATGAGTCCGCCAGGCCTGATCTGCTTCCGAAGCCCAGGCGACCAGAGAAATCGGGTGCTCATGCCAAATTCGGCAACAGAGAGGCGGGCTTGGAGATGACAACGTCAGCGACAGCCAGGAGTTCATGGATGCACCTCATGGAAGCTGGATGGCCAACAATCCAGGCATGAGTTCTGAGGTGTAGGCGACGTAAATCCAAGAAGAGCCACGCGATGCCTAGTGAAGGGAACCAAGCTGCGAGGCATACCGACAAAACCAGTACCAGGACTAAGACCGCTCCGGAACTTCGAATTTCTCCAACCTTGCAAGCGCACAGGAACCTTGCACTTTTCTGGCCGAACAATGTGCTTCCCAAAAGTCACCAAGGCAAAACCAAGTACAACTTGAAACTCCAAGCAAGAATCAGCTGCAAACTGTGACTTTCGCCTTGTATAGCTCTTGGCAGCTTGCTTCGGTTCAGTGAAACTCCGAAGATGTGTTGCTTGCACTCAGGCCGCCACTGTGCCCTAGCATCTGCTTGACGACCACAAACCACCACTAGCGTAATAGGAGTCTCCTGCCATGAGATTTGAAACTGGGCATCTGAAGCTCTGGGACTGTTTTCATCTGAACAGCGCTGATTCAATCGTCACCCGCCCCAGTCCAGCCGAATCAAGCTGTTGAAGATGCCAAGCACGGTCCTGTCAGGGTGTTGATTTCCTCTGTTCCAGGAGCCTTGAATGCCAAGGAGCTCAGCATCATCGTGACTAAAGCACACATAAGCCTACTATTTGATGCGATGCAAAACAAAAACGCCTCACACTGTCACAAGACTTGTTGCGGTGCTACACAATTGACCTCAATGCCAACGCTCCTTCCGGTTGACATTTGCACAATGACAGGTCTGTTACAGTCAGGAAGAAACGCATCATGAAGCGGTGCATCCTGCGTGTGGCATGGAAGAGCAACAAAGCTCTTGTCTGCCAAGTACAAAGCGACTGGATTCACATCACAAGCGGTCCATCCGCTCCACAAAGCGCTGTCGAGCCTCCCTTTTCGAGAGATGTTTGATGGAGGCCAGCGTGTCCTGATAGTTAATACAAGATGGCTGTGATTGAAAAACCAACACGAGCTCTAGCCGAGTGCCAGGCTTGAAACTGAGGCATTATCCTGGCTTGTAAGACAACCATCATAGACAAGCACCTGCCTGTTGATCACGTTGACAACAACTTCGCCACAGCCCCGCACGAAGTGTGTTCGGCAAAATGCATGCCAAGTTGGCGGTATCCCACTCACTGTAACGTCCCTTTCCGGCACGCCATCTGCGACTAGCTGGAACTTGGCCTGAAAGCAGGTGATAAGAGCTTTGTCATGGCGCACCATCGCCAGGGCTCCAGCACTTTCTCTCGGCACGAAGTAGTGGTCAGTTGGCCTGGCTGATGATAGGCTTTGGCGTGCACAACATGCCGCATATTTGGCCTGAGGTGCCGGCTGCTGGTACCACCACGCGTGAACATCCATGTCCGTAACCTTTTCACAGACTCGGGTTTCATCTGTTACACAACACTGCATGATGGCCGAGTTGCCAATTGTGCAAGTATATGCAAGTGAAGGACGATGTTCTTTAAAATCTTATTTAATCCGCCCCTCTGATCCTGAACGGTCGATCCTTGCAATCAAGCACATTCAGCCCTTTCTCCGGGGGTCTGTTGAGGTGGTATTCTCCGTGTTTGGCGCGTTTGCATTTTGGGAGACCTGTCATGACCACAGCTTCTTAGTACTTCACAGTGGCGATTGCTGCTGAGAGCTCTGCAACGGTCACCTGTGGGACCTTGAAACCATGCCTGCGCCAGGCATACGCATGCATTGGCTGCATTGGTGTCGCACTCTTTGCTTGAAAATGGGACCCCATTTAGCAAGTAGCGTGAAAACACGTTTTCATCTCAAGTTCATGCGGTGGAGAGCAGTCCTTTGTCTAAAATGAATAACTCAAAAACATGTTCGAACGCTTACCTTACGCTGGACTCAGGGAAGTGGCACACGGGTTCTTGCAGTTGCATGTAGCAGGGGTTTCAGCGTAATGGTCGTGCACGCGCACTAGGCGACATAGTGGGCACCATCAGTAGAAGTGAGTTTAGCCGCTGAGCCCGCTCGGAGCTTGCTTTGTGAAATCTTATGTTGTGTTTTGTTACAATTTCGCGGCAGCGGGAGACCCGCTCCGAGGCAGATCGCAGCCAACCAAATCGAAGAGCACGATTGCATGGCTGGCTCGTTAGTAGGCACTTGTACACCAACAGTCAACAAGACGGACAACATTCAAGTTAGTCACCGGAAGCACAAATTCGTCCGAAAGACAAAAAAACGTCTGCACGGTACACAGCTGGCGGACTCCTGCTGGCTTGGACGGCGGTGCCGGGGCAAGAAGTGAAGATCAACCAACAAACCGTCAGCCTTCAACTTGTTTGTTTTGCTGCGCCTGCCAACGGCGCAAACAATGAAGTTAACCCTTCCA